GCCCCCCCAAGCCCACTTGACTTTGCGGGATGCGATGGAGAGAGGCGCCGAAGAGCCCGCGCGCGATAGCTCGGAAGACGTCTGCCGTTTGGCGAGCGAGCAGCTGCCGTCCGTCGCTTTGGGCGCAGGCGTTCCCTGCTGGGGGGGAGGACGACGAGGATGACATGCTGAGAGGACGGCCCGCGGCCCTCGTCGTCGTTTGCGTTTTGGGCATGGCTTGTCTGCTGGGCGACGAGGGGGCGCGCGCCCGCAGCTTGGACTTGGTCCGCGTCTTGGAGATCCTCATCGCCGACGCCGCTTCGGTAAAACTTGTTCCGCGCTCGCCGGCCGCCGTCGTCACCGAGCTTCACCCGCCCCCTTCATTTTATTTTCAATTTCTCCCAATTTGGATTTGGATTTGAGACGACATTCCAGAATGGAATACCTTCACGCAGCCCCGCCCTCTCTTCAAATTCTACATGCAGCAATAATCAGATAAGATCAGCTAACCTTTGTTTATCCCACACTGGGGACATTTGCAATGACAGCACGAAACGTTTTCTTGTCGTTCTCCTCCCCCCCCCCCCCTTTGAGATTTTGTTCGATGCCTGCCAATTTTCAAGCATCCCGGTGGACATCTGACGTCCATTCAACATCACTTGAATGATTTGGATGTCATATCAGATGCCCGATGCCTGCTGGGATGTCCTGTCAGCTACATATAATACCACACACACACACACACACACACACATATATATATATATATATATATATATATATCTCCCGTCTGGAGTTTACATGTTCTCCCCCGCCTGCGAGGGTTTTCTCCAGGTACTCCGGTTTTCCAAAAACATGCGTGGCAAACTGATTGAACACTCCAAATTGTCCCTGTGTGTGAGTGTGAGATGCGGATGATCGTTCGTCTCTGTGTGCCCTGCGATTGGCTGGCAACCGGTTCAGGGTGTCCCCCACATACTGCCCAAAGAGTGCTGGAATAGGCTCCAGCACGGATCGGAAAATGGATGGAAATATATCTGTCTATCTATCTATCGAGATAGATCTCGATAGATAGATATCTGATGTATTGCGCTACTTTGAAATTGTCAGCATGATTGTGTTTGCGCCCGAGGATATCCGAAACTGGGGTACTTAATGAAGTGACCACCGAGTCGTGTCTGATCCTCTCGTCACGTGAGAACGAGCAGCGAGCTGATCGGTGTGTCGTGGCGTTCTGTCTTTGTGTGTCTCCCTCAGCAGTGTGCTGACTCCAGGTTGTACACCCCCACCTTCAACGACTACACGGTACGACCCTCTCCTTCCTTTTCTCTTTGTCTTCGGTTTGAACTCCGAGCACCTTAACATTTGCTCGACCCGGCTGTTATGAGCGGACCCACGAGAAAGTCGGAAAAGAGGCGGCCAAAAAACACACGGGAAATGCGCCATTTTCCAGTCAAGTGGAAAATGGCGCATGAGGCTCAGTTTTGACCAACCGGATTTGGTCAAGAGTCCCTTTAAAGCTAACGTGACTTCAGGACATCCAATTTACTGGACGAGTCTGTCATGTGCATACGCTCCCAAAAAGTCTTGAAAGAGCCAAATGAAGTCTGACGTTATGCTTGAGGGCCAGACTGACTCAGAAGGGCGCAGCTTTGGAATGCTGCTCACTACGTGTGGCGCAGAGCCTCCAAAACAAAACCTCTCAGAAAGCCAAGTAAGTCCTTTTGTAACCGGATTGTTTGTTTGGATGAGGTTTTTTTACTATTTTTTTTTCAAATTTTCTGACAATGCTGCGGCTTGGGGTTTTCTGATTATGAGAGACTTTTTCATGTGATGTTTCTCCTTAAATCCTAATCTATTTTTCATCTCATTATTTCTGTTTTTGACAAACAAAATGTTGTCCCTAACTCATGTTTATAATCGCCTCAATTTTCCTTTTTCCTCATATAGTAATATTTATCCTATTCATTTATATCCCCCCCCCCAACCCAACATCTTTTGTACTTTTAAAAGAATATATTTTGGGGATTTCTTCCCAGGATGTATTTTTCCCCTCGGTAAGAGATTAAAAAAAGCAAAATACTGTGTTCCGAAGAAAAGACAAAAAGGACAAATGAAAATATCAAACGTTCCTCCGGAGGTTGCGCTTCTGTCATACAGCACGTCTCCGTTGACCTCACACAACTTATTATTATTGTTGTTGTTTTTTCAGACGTGTCCCAAGGACACCCTGGAATGTTTCTCCGCAGAAGTCCGAGTCCTCGTAACCGAATGCGAAAGAACTGAAGATGATGATTTGGAAAAATTGGAGCGGGGCCTCAAGTTCTTAGAGAACAAGCATCACCGCAACCAGGTGAGCATGGTGGAAGTGATGTCACAGCCAGGAAGGGCCAAATATTCGTCATATATTGCCTTTGTCTTGCCTTTCCCCAATCTTGGCCGAAACCACAGATTGGTGATTGGCTCATTTCCCTGTCAATCAAAAAGAGATTCAGCCTCAGACAGCTCATCGAACCATCATGCAGAAAAGCTGAGCTTCCGCGGCAGCCTATAAATGCCCACTGTCCATAGACTCCCAAAGACGCCGAGCGTCCGATGGGTGGGACGAAACCAGCATTGATTCAATGACTCGTCTCGTTTCAATGCATTGGGACAACCTACTCAGAACTCTCTCGACGAACAGTTTAAAGCACAGTGAAGCTGCGAGAATGATTGAGAAAAGAGTCGCGTCGTAACCAGTAATAAGAAACTGATTCGGAACAAAAGTTGAGCGCGTTATAGCGCATATTTAGTCAATGACATGTCCACACAATTATACGTACACACATATATTTGATCACTTACTTTTTGACATTTTAGGGGAAGCTGAGCTTCCCTTGCAGTCTTAGAGCAATCGCTTCTGAGGTATATATATCTATATATATATATATATATATATATACCGTATATATAGTTTGTGTGTGGGTGTACACAAGTGTATCAACGTTTGTTCCCGGTTTCCACAGAGCCAGTCAGCGTGTGGTCCGTGTGAGCTCCACCCGGAGGAAAACGTCGGGCGCTTCCTTCGTCAACTAAAGCAAACTGTGATGGCATCCAACTTTTAGATTTTTTTTTTTTTTTATCAGCTCTTATCTCTTTTTTATCATCTCGCGTTTTCTCCACCAGCTGTCATTTTTTTCCTGTTGGCAATTATCTTTTTTTTTTCCAAACAGAATTTTTTTTTTTTGTAATCAGCTGGCATTTAAATATTTTTTTTTTTTTACCAGCTATCATCTCTCCTTTTTTTTTAAATCAAGAATCTCTTCGTCATCAAGAAATCTCCCCAAATAGTGCAATTTGACCTATGAGAATGCATTTTGCTTGAGGAAAAAAAATGCTATTTTTTTTCTAAGATGATGATACTTTTAAATGAGTGATTTTCTTGGAAAAAAAAAATCTGTGGACATTTTTCTTAAAACACACCAACAATCCCCAACAAATGTTTGTTTGTTTTTCCGAGGAGAGTGTGTTTTTCTAAAGGGTGTTTTTCTCCTCATGGGGGTCATGATTGTGCTGGACCCTTTCCCAGCTCCAGTTTGGAGCGTTCTATTCAGCAAACGCACATGTTTTTGGAATGTAGAAAGGAAAGCGGAGTACTCGAAAAAACCCAAGCATGCACGGGAAGACCATGCCAACTTCACACGGGAAGGCCGAGCTGGAATCGAGTCCAATTTTGATTTCACTTTTATGTATTGTATGTACAAGCTGCAGTGTTTTACTGTAACGTTTAATTCATTTCCCTCTCTTTAAACATCGTTCTAATGTTCAAACGGTAGACACATAATGGCTTTCAAGCGTTAAACCTACTTTTTAAGAATAAAACCTCAACCTTATTTTTATGAACACTCAGGCCTACTACGCCCCTGTTTTTTGTTTTTTTTCATGTTGGTCAGGATGCTGCTACTTGGAGAGCGAAACATTTTTTGAGGTGCTACTTGGGTGTCAAAAGCTGGGGAGCCACTCCTATAAATGATGAAGTGCTCGGAATGCTTTGTTTTGTTGTGTTATTTCAAATCAGCACAGCGTCGCTTCTGAAAGGGTGGCAGTCTCTCGCGGCCAAATTGAAGCACTTCTCAAAATCGTTTGCCTCCTCCTCACGAAAGCACACTTTGTCAACACAACTTTCAGCAAGCACATTCCTCGCCAGTGACTGGGATGTCAAAATATGGCGTCTCTGAAATGTGATAACAGACCCTTTTGGCAGTGCGGATGAGTACACAGCACATATACACGCACACAACCTATCAGAAGTCATCAATCATTCACATGATAGCGCCGCCTCACATTCCAAATAAGACATGGCCGAATCGACTGCATGCATCCTCTGCTGGCCTCTGCCTGAAAAGCTCGCCAAAGTGTGTGTGTGTGTGTGTGTGTGTGTGAGCAGTGTCACCAGAAAGGGCTGGAATCAGGTTAGGGGGGTTGTTTTGCCTGCCACAAGTGGGATGCGCAAGTACACAACAGTATTTGCCAGTACCCTTGAACGTATTCAAACATGTATTTACTGCAAATACATTTGCACATATATGCCGGTACGTTCAAACGTACTGGAAAATACGTGAGAAAGTACTTGTACTTTTCTCCCATTACACGACATGGTATTGACTTTTTATTTTTTTGGGCACATGGCCAATATTATACCAATTCATTCAAAAATTTACAAAGTAAACATTTGTCGTGGGCATTGTGGGAAAAAAATGCCCGTGTTTTTATCATTGAGCCGACAACACGTTGCTATCGACGTCATATTGGCAGCTCGGCTTCCGTACAGTAGCCGACACAACAAATTCATGTTTAGTATTCACAAGTCAAAGAAAATACTTTGTTCAAATATTTTTCCGTTTATTTAAAAAGCGGCTTCCTGCCATAAAAAAAAGAACTGAATTCAAGAGAATTTGCGATTTGGGTACGTGAAGAAACTTGGAAATCGATGCACTTGGCAAGCCAGAGGTGCTCGTAGGCATTTGTGTCACAAAACACACAGCCAAAACTATCGAAATGTTCATCTCGTCCCGGAGTGCAGAATGTCTTTCTGTCCCGTGTGCCGCTGTGGGGACAAAAAGACAAGAGCAAGTGATCAGGTCCGACTGCGCTCTTCCGTGCGCATGCTGACTCGGTAGCCGCGGTCAGTCAGTTTTGGGGGTTTGCGGGTGTTGTTGGGGGGCGTAGGGCGCTCGTCTCGTCACTTGTTGTCTTTTTCAGCCGTCGGGTTTGTCCTTGTTGGGGCCCATGAAGTCCAGGCCGTCCACGGGGATGTCCTTGTCCTTGATGGCCTTTTGCACGCAGCGTTGGTACAGCCGGAAGCTGTCCGCGCACGGCTCGGCGCCCCGCTCTCCCTTCAGGAACTTGTCGGCGAACCATCGGTTGAAACATTGGTCGTACTCCCGCTTGAGCTCCGTGCAAGCCTCGCCCACGCTGTTCATCTCCCGAGCGACGGCAAAACTCACACAATCGTCCGCAAAAACACCCAAGCCGGATCGGACAGACTTTGTGCTACGGTTACGTCGCTCGAAGCACCCTGGGAGGTCGACACGACGTCACAGCCGAGCAGAGATTCGAAGGACAAGAGCGCTTACTCCTTCGTTCACCGCGGGGCCCTGAAAACCAGCGAAGAAAAAAAAATACTCTGCTTTTCAAAGCCAGACTTATCCAAAACACGTTGTCATAACCCCAGTGTGCGTTAACCACGAAAAACGGGGATTTTCTCCACCCGCTCCAGACCCCAAAGAAAAAAGAAAAAAAAATCCTAGAATTGGTGAACCGCGAGTACGTTGTGGTTCCTTTTGAAGTGAGACCTCTTTCTTCAGCCGACACAGCTGCCAAACTATCGCGAGATCGGCCAGATCACCGGAACTCTCGCGATCGAATCCAGCGGCTGCGCGAAAGACGACTGCGAAGCAAGACATTTTCATCTTGGCCTGTTTTGTCCCACCGCCAAGCGATTACCGGAAGAAGGTCTGTATCGTTTTGGAAGTTCAAGAGCGCGTCGCAATTTCGAAGCTGTCGGGAAGGTGCCGTTGGCGCCGAAGTCGACATCCTGGCTCTGCCCGGCCTTTGCTGGTGCCTGTTAGCTTAGCTTTAGCACAAGAGGTTGCGCCTAATTCAAACGACGGAGCCGAGTTGTTTTGACGATTGCCTCCGTTTGCGCTCCTGCAGTCACTCGGCGCCCCCAAAGATGTCTGACAGCGACGACAGCGACTTCTCCGACAACCAGAGCGAGCGCAGCAGCGACGGAGAAGCCGAAGAGGTGGAGGAGAACGAGGTAGTCTCGTGCTAATGCTAATGCTAACTATTGACACAACAACAGCGACGGAGGTGCTGAATTTACTTTCATCTGATATGTTTTTAAATCTTACATTTTACTTTGCACCAAGGGCTGACAGATTATGGCCAAAAAGATCACAATGCCCTTCCCTTCATCATTTTTGGGGACACAAGTTGTGTTTTTATTGCATTACTCTCCAGCAAACTATATATTAAATTAGTGAAGCACTAAATTTAAAAGTAAACGGAAATAGATTCATTTTTGCAACGAACGACAAATAATACCCCCCCCCAAAAAAAAATTCCATTACATTTAAATTGACCAAAGGCTCATGCACATATATGCTATATCTTATGTCATATCAGTGGCCTGAACCCAAAACGAGCCCAGACAACAGATGTGAATACCTTTTGAGGCACCAGCTCCACCTCTCCAATTTTGGTGGCTTAAATCAAACATAAAGAAATGACATTTTTATCATAGAATGAAAGCAGCACTTTTTTTTTTTTCACATGCGGCAAAATAAGCCACCTCAATGTGTTTTGAGCTAATTCATTGTAATCCGCAGAGATAATGTACAACTATTGGGTGGTCATGGGCATTTAAATTTGCATCCGTGTGGTCAAATTCTGATGAAAGCTTACAATACAATAAGAAAACGATTGCACGTCTTTGCGATATGCATCTTGCGTCGGCCATTATTGCCATATCGATATATTTTCGCGATAGCTGCCCGAGTGCCAAGCGTGTCGTACGAAATGCGTTTTGGTATCCAGGAGGAGCCGGGCAGCCCCGTGGGCAGCGACAAAGTGGCTGAGGAGGAGGGCGAGGACCTGGATGACGAGTACGACGAAGAAGAGGAAGACGACGATGAGCGTCCTCGGAAGAAACCGCGCCACGGAGGCTTTATCCTGGATGAAGCCGGTCTGAAATCTGTTTCATCTGGTTGTTTGCGTGTTGTTTTACCGTCGAGCTTCCTCCTTCCGTGACCTCTCAACTCTTCTTTCTTTTTGCAGATGTGGACGACGAGTATGAGGATGAAGAAGACCAATGGGAGGAAGGAGCTGAGGACATCCTGGAGAAAGGTGAGGACGTCCCAAGCGTGAACGCAAAGCGGACTCTGAAAAAGACACCGGAACCTTCGAGTGGGGCCGGGCCATTTGGCACGCCGCGGTAAAATGGCTCGATCCCTTCAAGCGGATACAACTCGTATTATTCGGCTGAGAAGCAAGAGAGTGTTGTGTTGATTTGATGGGATTTGTTGACAAAAGTGGGTTGTGCCAGCATCTGCCGGGCACGCGGTGGCCCGACACGGTGCCGTACGTTCATGTCCGAGTGTGTGAAAGTACGACAAGTTAAGATGGCGTCTTCTCTTTGTCTCGCCGGTCGCTCACGCGCGTCCTCTACGGTTCACGGGAATTTTTCTGCCCTCTCCGATAGTGCGCGTGTGTGTGAAAATGGACCGGCACGTTTGTTGTCACGTGCGCGGCGTGCCAACGTTTCCTCGTGGTTGACAACATGGTCAATGACTGACACTGACATTTGTCTTAAGGGCTGCACGTCCATCCACGCGGCGATGCCATATTTGAACACGCCGCCATTAATGTCTGCTCTCTTCTGCCAATGCCCCCTTCCCCCCTCCTCCCGTTCCTTGTTTTCTCTCGCCTCATCCCTCAAATCCTGCCTCCTATCTCCTTGTTCAACTTGTGTGACGCTTCATCTTGCCTCCTTCCTCCTCCACTCGGCCCGCTACCGCCCGGCGGCGGCCGCGGTCCCGCGCAGAGGAGGCTGAAGGTAAGTCTTCGAGCTGGCGCGGCACTTGAATGACGTCGTGCGGACGGGGGTGTGACGACGACGGCGGCCTGCTTTCAGTGTCCAACATCGACCACGTGGTCCTGGATGAAGACCACTCAGGGTCCAGGAGGCTGCAGAACCTCTGGAGGTGAGACGAAGGTCATTTCGCCATTTGGGAACAGGGGGCCAGCGACGTCAGATTTCGTCATCGGTCGAGTCAACTTGCATTCATCGATGACGTCGGTGATGTTTTTGTACAGTGCACTGAAGAAGAATTTGCCCTTTTGTTTTAGAAATTAGAGAGTAAGCACCCGAATGTAAAAAAACCCAAACTATACTGTGTGTGTGTGTGTCATGCGCAGAGACTCTCGAGAGGAGGCGCTGGGCGAATACTACATGAGGAAGTACGCCAAGTCCTCTGGAGGGGAGCAGTGAGTCATTTTTGCTTTCTTTGAGTTTGACGTTTCCCTGCCGTGTTGTCGCTCGCTTCCTTTTCCTCCTTCAAATCCAACAGCAAAACACTGAAAGTTGTCTTGGTTTCATACCTGGCTGCGCTTCATCTTCATCTTGTCCACAATGTGGGAGAAAATATTGATCTTTGATTTCCAAAGCAAAAGACGAGGTTTGCAAATCCGAATTCGTCTTTGCCTTATTTCGTGGTATTTTGATGAAACGCCAAAATAAGGCCCCCAATTTTAAGGCCCCAAGTCAAGTATTCATGTTCACTCCTTTTCACTCGACCGTAAGCGGGCCCAAGTGTGGAGCTGAAGTTCTGTCAGCAATTCACCCAAAATGTCCGCCAAACGGCAAAAAACAAATCGGCAAATGGATTGTTCGCCCATGCACGAGTGGCTTGAAAAATGGCATTGCCCCGTCTCACGTTTTGGGAGCAAAAGGCCACCGTTGACCCCCGCCCCCGCGTTCCAGGCTCTTCTTAGCGGTCAGATTTAGTTTCTCGTCTTCGCCGGAAGGAGCCTTCACGGGTTTTTGCTCAACTGCGACTCAACTGCGAGCTTTGATTTTGTTCAATATGCGGAGCATCCGGATTCCCAATGCGCTCCAACATTGTCTTCTTCTGTGGCGCGCAGCTACTCGGGAGGGTCGGAGGAGCTCTCCGATGACATCACCCAGCAGCAGCTACTTCCCGGTGTCAAGTACGTCAACGCCGCGATCAGAGAATGGCTGACTGTTCTAACTGCTCAATTGCATTTGTCCACACCAGGGATCCCAACCTGTGGACTGTCAAGTGCAAGGTGAGGTTTCCGCACGCGTCGCGCCCACCCCCACACACACACGCTTGCTCAGAGTCTCCTCTCTTCTCAGATTGGGGAGGAGCGGGCGACGGCTATCGCACTGATGAGGAAGTTCATCGCCTATCAGTTCACGGACACGGTAAGGACGCCCGGCTCGGCTTGGCTCGGCCGGCCAGGCGGGAAGCGGCTGAGAGTCCGCGGTTGCGTCGGCCGTCGCTCCCGAGCCACCGCAGCGACGAGGGAATGAGGATTCCCAACGCGGTCGCTCCCTTTGCAATCCTATTCACTCATTCCCGACCGACCCTCTGATAACCACGACGACGGAAATGTCAGCAAACTATCGAGGTTGACTGTCAACACAAAGCTCAAACCGCACCGAACTGCTCCCGCAGCCTCTCCAGATCAAGTCGGTGGTGGCGCCGGACCACGTGAAGGGCTACATCTATGTGGAGTCTTACAAGCAGACGCACGTGAAAGCCGCCATCGAGGGCATCGGAAACCTTCGCATGGGCTTGTGGAACCAGCAGATGGTTCCCATCAAGGAGATGACGGACGTCCTCAAGGTGGTCAAAGAGGTCACCAACCTGAAGCCCAAATCCTGGGTCAGGCTCAAACGAGGCCTGTACAAAGACGACATTGCGCAGGTACTCTGGGCCGCACCCTTGACGTCAAGTCTAATGATGTTGATGCTCTCCTTCAAAACCATTGTCATACCGCTTAGCCCGGACTGACCCGAGCAGAAACAAAGAAAAGGTCTCGTGACCAAAGCGCTCTGAACTCAAAACGGCTTCATCGCCCAACCCGCGGGATCCGATTGTCTGCACTTTGGATTCCACTGAAGTTGTGTTGTTGGCTCTCCAGGTGGACTACGTCGAGCCCAGCCAGAACACCATCTCGCTCAAAATGATCCCTCGCATCGAACTGGACCGCATCAAAGCCAAGATGAGCCTGGTAGGCCGTGCGCGTGTGCGCCCGGGCGGGCTCGCCTGCCCGAGCGCGCGCGGGCTCAGTGGTTTGTCTGCTTCTTGGTGTGTCTCCAGAAAGACTGGTACGCCAAGAGGAAGAAGTTCAAGAGGCCTGCCCAGAGGCTCTTTGATGCCGAAAAAATCAGGTGCGCGCGCCGGGCCCCTCGAACGCGTCTCGAGCGCGGGCCCCTGTCTGTCGGAGTGACACGCGTGCTTTTGATTGACAGGGCGCTTGGAGGGGAGGTCAGTCACGATGGCGACTTCATGATCTTCGAGGCCAATCGTTACAGCCGCAAAGGATTCCTCTTCAAGAGCTTCGCCATGTCGGCGGTGGTGAGCAGGAAGTCCTCGCGTCGCCTCGCTGGTGTTGTGATCATTGGTTCAGCTTCTTCCTTTTTTTTTTTTTTTTTTTTTCATGAATGAATTAGGGAAAACCTTGAGTCAAAAGCTGCACATTATTTCAATTTGACAGCACCCAAAATGCACAAAAACGTAATCTGATTCGGATTCAGTTCATGGTTTAGTCCTTCCTCGAATATGAAATAAATTGGCCAAAAAAAAAAGGGCAATCTTTGTGTTACAAACTAAAAAAGTAGGTGTTTGCAAAGATGCCTTGAAATTCAACAAGGTCCACACGATGAGTTGCTCCTCAAGAGTTGCCAATTCTTTTCATTCGTTCAAAAGCTGCGATGCAGGCAGACTCTCGTAAGAAAAACAAACAAACACGTTTTACTCCCTTTCAGACACCTGAAATGTACTCAAAAGCTTTTTAACACGAGATGATTGGACTTCCTGGGGCCGTTTTTGGACGGATTGCGCTGGCCGATGAGACCACCCGTCTTTGGCTCATTCCACATTCTGTTGAGTCTCGTTGAGAGGGTGAAGTGCTTGCTGCCATCGCGTGGCACCTCCTGGTACTACACGGAAGTCGTGCCGCTCGCCGGCGGTCTTCTTGTCGATTTTTTTTTTTTCCGCAGCTTTTGAACTTGTATTAATATTTAGGGGCCGTTTCAAATTCCGTCTTGGGAGAGAGCAGAGATTCTAGCGCACACTCGGCCTCGGGTATCATCTGTAAGGCCAGTTCGGAGGAAAGAGAAGAGCTCGCTTTTCTCTTACCTTTTACAATTATGAACGCCCATGTTTTAATCATTTGAACTTTTTTTTTTTTTTTTTTTTCCTCCATTTGATCAGGTTCTATTTTGAAAGCGACGCCTCGGCTCATGTGTTTTTTTTTTTTTTTTCCTGTGAGTCAGTCAGCCTCTGCTCGTTGCCCTCCGACAGATCACAGACGGCGTGAAGCCCACGCTCTCCGAGCTGGAGAAGTTTGAAGACCAGCCGGAAGGAATCGACTTGGAGGTGGTCACCGAGTCAGGTTTGTGCGCCGACGCTTGGCTGGCTCCGAGATCTGCGCCTCGCCTCACTTGACTCCAAGCGCCCGTCTGCCCGCGCGCAGGCAAGGAGCGCGAGCACAACCTGCAGGCGGGTGACAACGTGGAGGTGTGTGAGGGGGAGCTGATCAACTTACAGGGGAAAATCCTCAGCGTGGACGGCAACAAGATCACCATCATGCCCAAACATGAAGACCTCAAGGTACACGCGAGGCGTACGCGACACGTTGCTTTGAAGAGCAAAAGCGTGGCGATCGGTCGCCGAAAGGCTGAACGACAACACATTGGGGTCCCCCCAAAATTGGAGAGGCCTTGCCCCTCATTGAGGCCCCGTCTCGATCTGACCCGCGCGTAGGACCCCCTGGAGTTCCCAGCTCAAGAGTTGAAGAAATACTTCCGGATGGGCGACCACGTGAAAGTGATCGCCGGCCGATACGAAGGCGACACGGGCCTCATCGTACGCGTGGAGGAGAGCTTTGTCATCCTCTTCTCCGACCTCACCATGCACGAAGTAACTCCTCCGTCGCTGATGTTGATTGCGATCGCAATGTTTTGTCTTGTTTTTCCAAGCTGTTTGCTAATAATCCTCCCCATCCCTCCCCCGTTGTTTTTTTTTTTCTTTTCTTCTTTTTTCCCTGCCTGTAGCTGAAGGTGTTGCCGAGAGATCTGCAGCTCTGCTCGGAAACGGCGTCTGGCGTGGATGCGGGGGGGCAGCACGAGTGGGGGGAGCTGGTCCAGCTGGACCCGCAGACAGTGGGTGTTATCGTGCGGCTGGAGAGAGAAACCTTCCAGGTAATCGCAAGGGGCCGCCTGACATCGTACGTGCCGCCATAGTAGCGGTAAGTTTGAACTAAGGTGGGAATGGGGAAAAAAAAATAAGAATGATTGTTTCACCACTCACGCGAACTTGAAAGGGGAACTCAAGTCAAATCTTTTGTGTGTGTGTGTGTGTGTGTGTGTGTGTGTGTGTGTGTGTGTGTGTGTGTGTGTGTGTGTGTGTCTCCAAACACGGCATCCTGATTAATGCGGCGTCGGTGGAACAAGAATGTTGAACGCAAAATTGTGTTTTTGGTCTGAAATGTTTGTTAGTTGAATGTTGGCAAGTAATCTCAAACAAATGAAGTCAAATCAAGGATCGAGCAGAGGTCAGCCAATCCTCCTCGAAGCGTCTCCAGTTGGTCCAAAATGCCGCTGCCCAATCTTGAAATGGCTTGGCCCCACCCGACCTCTCTGAGCTCCTCCGCCCCTCCCTGCCCGGTGCCTCAGATCTGCGGACCGGGAACTAAGCGGAGGCTCCGAGGGGATGCGGCTTTTTCCCTCTCTTTGGAATGAACGTCGGGCAAGCCCCCGTCGCTGCCCATCTTTCAAACTTGTCATTCTTTGGCTTTTGCCTCCGCACGAGACTTGATTTGGAGTTGGACTGTTTGGGCGCCTCGCACTGTCTTTGTCGTCGAGTTGTTGGTCTAAATTCTTTTTGCCCCGCGCACAGCACGTCGCACACGGCAGCGGCTGTGTTTTGAAAGCGCCGGAGAAATAGACTCGAGTCGGGTTGATTGAGGTGCGCGCGACGCTCCTCGCAACCTTTGTCCTCTCTCGACTCGTTTCAACGCGTGGCGCTCCTCCTCCGGCAGGTGTTGAACATGCACGGCAAAGTGCTGACGGTGCGCCACCAGGCGGTCAACCGGAAGAAGGACAACCGCTTCGCCGTGGCCCTGGACTCGGAGCAGAACAACATCCACGTCAAAGACATCGTCAAGGTCATCGACGGGCCCCACTCGGTAAGGATGCTCGGGACCCGGCCGATTCGGCTCGCGCCTCGCGGCCTTCGAGTTGACTCGGCGCGCGTGTGTGTGCGCGACGCCGGCAGGGCCGCGAAGGCGAGATCCGCCACCTTTTCCGGGGATTCGCCTTCCTGCACTGTAAGAAGCTGGTGGAGAACGGAGGAATGTTTGTCTGCAAGACTCGACACCTCGTGCTGGCCGGCGGCTCCAAGGTAACGCAACCCGACCGTCCGTCCGGCCGGCAAAAATCCGATGGAGGAATCAGAATCGCTTCAAAATATTGACGGCTGTCACGCGGTGAGTCTGAGTGAAAAAGTTGTGCGGCGCTTGTTGAGTCTTCCGATTGGCTTGCTCTTCTTTGGCCAAACAATTGCCAATTGGGGGAAGTTCTTTTCAGGCGCTTCTTGTGATTTTTGCCGGGCCGGTCAAGGCCGGAGAAGGGTGCCTTGGTTTTCAGACACGATCATGGTGAACTGCCCTCGGTGAGGCGTCGCGAGTCGTTTTTATTTTGAGTGTTGCACAGGTAGCGTTCAATGTTCCGTATCCCCCCGGAAGCTTTTCTCGGTTTGACAGCGGTCGCATGGAAAAGGTCTCGCCTGGCGCCGTCAAGGCCTTTCGTTCTTGTGCCTGTCACCAGATGTCACTTTGTAGTAGGCAAACGCTCTTCTTCCGAGCTTTGACACCGGAAGGCATCCGACGGACGTCCCAGGTCGAGACAAACTCGGAGCGTAACGTTGCCGCTGTGTTTCAGCCCCGAGACGTGACCAACTTTACGGTGGGCGGCTTTGCACCCATGAGCCCTCGCATCAGCAGCCCCATGCATCACGGCGGCGGCGGTAAGTGGCGCCCTGCGCCCGCTCCCGGGGCATCGCTGCCGTCTTTGATGCCGGCGTGGCCGCCCGCCCCGCAGGTGCTCAGCAGCGAGGGGGAGGCGGAGGCGGCATGGGGCGGGGCCGAGGACGACGGGACAACGAGCTGATCGGCCAGACGGTTCGCATCTCGCAGGGTCCATACAAAGGTACGGCACCGCCGTCGGCCAATTCCAAAGCGACGATGCCCACCTCGCCTGGTTTCCGCTCGGCAGGTTACATCGGTGTGGTGAAGGACGCCACGGAGTCCACGGCCAGAGTGGAGCTTCACTCCACCTGTCAGACCATCTCCGTCGACAGACAACGCCTGACCACCATGCGAGTCGCCTTCTTGATTTGTTTGGCTTGGAACGAACCGAGGCGGGTTCCTAACGCGTGCGCGCCGCACTTCTCTCCCGCAGGGGTGCGCAGAAGCACAGCGGCATGACCTCCACCCACGGGCGCACGCCCATGTACGGCTCGGGCTCCCGGACGCCCATGTGCGGCTCGCAGACGCCGCTGCACGACGGTGAGCGCGCCGCGGCCCCGCCGCCAAAGCTCTTCTAGCGGCGACCCGCTTTGAATTGTGTCATTCGAAGCCATCGCCAGTTGGCGTGACGCCCGCCTCGCCCGCTTTTGGGCGGGACGTGCCTTCGACTCCTGTGTGGGCGATTGGCCCTCGAGAATCTCAAAGTCAAGTTGACTTGGATTGAGCTTCCCGAGTCCCTTTGCCTTTCCTCTTCTGGAAATGACGTTGCTACGTTCTCATTGAATCTTTTTTTTCCCCCTCCTGGATGAAAGTGCAGTGCCAGTTTTGTGTTTTGAAGGGCGTGCGTGGCCACAGCTTTCGTGACGAAATTGCCACTGGCGTTCCAGCGCCCCGGACACGCCGGCAGCAAACGTTGTCGTGGGATGCCTGGCTCTGATTTCCTCGTTTGTCCGTCTTTTCTCGCGAACAGGAAGCCGTACGCCTCACAGCGGCTCGCAGACGCCGCTGCACGACGGCAGCAGGACGCCCGGTCAGAGCGGCGCCTGGGACCCCAACAACCCCAACACGCCGTCCAGGTCAGCAACACCAAGCGTCCTTTCCTACGATTTGCTTCCACGCTCTTTTCTTCCCCACCTTCCCGCTGCTATGAACAGAAATGGATTGCTGCCACGCGAGGGGCGAGGATGTTGTTTCACGTCCCCTTCTCGCATGATCACTTTCAAGTCCTAACACGAGAACGTTTAAAGATGAAAACTTTGGCTTCCGCCGTCAGCATAACAAAGCGAAGCAAGTAATTCCGGTTGGGCTGAGTGGATGTCGCCGTGTGTGTTTCTCATTTTCAAAGCGTCAAACAAATTGTTTCCCAGCACCAGTAGTTGTGCAGCTCGGAACTTGGCTTTTTACCCCCTCACGAAATGGAGTGACCTGCGCCGGATGCGAGCCGAACTCGGTTTAAACGCGCCCGCATGAGTTCATGTTAGAGGACCAAAATGAGGAACGTGAGAGCCATCGTCCCCAGACCTGTGAGATAGGCGATCGCATCCATGCGCCGAGCCACGGAAGGGCGCGGAAACGTTTCCTCATGAGCACAGCCGGCGACCTCTGTCGTGCAGTTGCAAAAGGAGCCCAAAGCTACTCGGGGAACTCGGTTTGAGGCTGACGGAACACGCGAGGATGCTAATATTGGCGTGTGTTCGCGCGCCCCCTCTCAGGAACGACGAGGAGTACGACTTTGGCTTTGACGACGAGCCCTCGCCCTCGCCTCAGGGCTACGGGGGGACCCCGAACCCCCAGACGCCAGGCTACCCAGAGGTCCCGTCTCCGCAGGTCAACAATCAGTACAACCCTCAGACGCCAGGCACGCCCGCTATGTGAGTCTCGCTGCGCCATTGCCGTTCCAGCAGCCTGATGGGGTTTCATGTCCTGGATCCATTTTGAGGATTCATTGATTCTTTGTTTATTTCGGGCGCAGGTACAACACGGAGCAGTATTCTCCCTACACCGCCCCCTCGCCACAAGGCTCCTACCAGCCCAGTCCGAGTCCTCAGAGCTACCACCAGGTGGCGCCCTCGCCGGTAGGCTACCAGAACACCCACTCTCCAGCCAGCTACCACCCCACGCCCTCACCCATGGCTTACCAGGTAAGAAGCGCTTTCCTCCCACCGAAGCGCTCGCGTGACTCGAGTGGCAATTTTTGCACCAGGCGTGGGCTCGAGGACGGCGCAAATCGGAGAATCGTTTCTGTCGAGAGGCTGAAATGGGGAGGATTCGGAGCGTTCTCAGTGAAGCGAGCTCTTTGATCATCGACTAGTTTTTGCTTGAAATGTAGCAGGCGGTCGACCGGGGCTGCTTTTTATTGTATTTTATTTGTATTTTTTGCCGCGTTACTTGAAACTTTGGGTTTTCCGGTTCAGCCTCGAGACTTCCCTCCGACTTGCGCGCGCGCGTGACTTGCGAAGAGTGACTGACGTTGGGAGCGTGTGACCCGCAGGCCAGCCCGAGTCCGAGTCCGGTGGGCTACAGCCCCATGACGCCCGGAGCGCCCTCTCCCGGCGGCTACAACCCCCACACGCCGGGCTCCAACATCGAGCAGGGCGGCAGCGACTGGGTGACCACCGACATCCTGGTGCGGGTCAAGGACTCCTTCGCGGACCTGATGGGACAGAGGGGAGTCATCCGCAGCGTCACGGTGAGAAGCGGGGTCATCCGAGTCCTGTTGCCGTGGCGACGGAACGCCACGCGCCGCTCAAGGATACACTTTGTACACTTGACGTCGTTGCGCCGCATCAAGGTGCCACCAGCTATGACCAAAGCACGACTTTGATATTGGGGATGAAAACTGAGGATGGATTCCCCCCACCTCCTCAAAATCTGACAGCAGGCAAATTTTTTGGAGAGAATTCACCGTACCTGGATTGACATTTCATTCTCAATTATTTTTAGGTGACAGAATTACTGAGGGGGGTGACGTGATTCCTTGATTTTTAAGGTGTTGTTTTGCAACCGGTGGCACTTTTAAATTGTTTGGGGTAAAGAGAACATTTTATTTCTGGAAAAGATTTTCAGAACTGGGGGATTTTTTTTTTTTATGGGGTGGGGGGGGGCGTTTTGCCCAGCCCTCATGATCATGAAAACTAATCATCGATGATCAATTGCTATTTTCTGAGTCACCAGTGGAAGACAAATTCAACATGTTTTTGCGCTGAAGCCTCGAAAGCCGCATTTTGCTTGTTGGCATCTTCGGAGGCAGGCGAAGTCGATGAAAACATTAAAGCAAGCGAAAAAAAATGGCCGCAACTGGCTGAGGAAAAGCGGCCTGCTTTGCGAGCAACTTCTCGGCGCCCTCTTGGGTCCGGCACAAAAGAAGCCGGAGTTGTGACGGACTTGTCTCCTCGCCTCTCGCAGGGCGGCATGTGCTCCGTCTTCATGCAGGAGTCGGAGAAGGTGGTGAGCGTCAGCAGCGACCACCTGGAGCCCGTCACGCCCACCAAGAACGACAAGGTAAGCCCGGCCAGGGGCCCAGGTTTGCGGCCAGGGGCCCGGTCCGAATACTCGCTAACGCTTCACTTCACCGGCCGATGATTTGACAAACAGAATTTGACTCGGTACTCCGGAGTCAACCGCTGTCCGTACTCGCGCCGAAGTCGTGAGTGAGAGCACTTAGGCCTCTTTTGCGACCGCAGGTGAAGGTGATCCTGGGAGAGCACCGCGAGGCCACGGGCACGCTGCTGAGCATCGACGGAGACGACGGCATCGTGCGCAAAGTCCTCGACAACCAGCTGATGATCCTCAACCTGAGGTTCCTGGGATGTCTGGGCCACTGAGGCCACCAAAAACAAAGCCCCACAAAAAGATTCTCCTCTCAGACAAATTAGTCTTTAGGTGTCGCGTCGCTATTTGTATTTTCTCACTTTTCTTAGATCATCATCTCAATCCTAAACAGCTCCATCAGATTTGAGTTGCTCTGTGCCCATGCGTGCGCGCGCACACCCCGATGACGTCAATAAAGTATGAAACAGGCCACGTCAGATTTTGTCCAAATCATTTTTTGAATGAGATTGCAGCAGGAAGGACGAATCACGTGTCTTGTCTTTCCAATCACGTAAGTGGTAAAAGTTGCCCTTCATTGAGACAAAAGTAGGCCAATGACAGAACAGAAAAATAGCAAGCGAATAATGGGCGGGGGGGGGGGCGGGGGCGTGACGAGAGGGAGTTTGAAGGCCTCAGCTCTGGATGAATGGCATGAACGGGGGCCGATCGTAGCTTTTGATGCGAAATGTGATGAAACTGGAATGTTGAGTTAGCAGGTTGAAGACGACGTGTCGGGAGCCGAGAGGTCACCCGCAGGGCTGCAGCGGGCACCGGTGGTCGATGGGCAAGAAGTAGAAGGTTCCCCGGGCCGGGCAGGGGTGGCCTTTGGAGGCGATCGGCGCCCGGTCGGCGTCGTGGCCATGGCAGCCGATGGTCAAGTTGCGAGACAGAAGGATCTTCACCTGAAACCAAACCTCGCGCTCCTGAAAGATAGGCTCTCTTCATTATTTCCACTTACATTGAACATGAGCACAGAAAACCTCCTGGACGGGTCCATCTTGGGGAAAAAAACAAAAACAGTTGAGAAAAAGTGCCCCAGTTTCTTGTCATCGCATTGATTGAATTTTGGCCTTTCTTTTGAAACGCAAAGGCTTTTAAATAGTTCATTTTGCCGTGCGTCCATTTTCCCCACCGCTTATCCTGAGTGTGTCTCCGAAAATGTTCCACCGGAGCCTTTGCGGGTTTCTCCGTCCAGGCCGGGAGGCTCCACGAAGCCGCGGCAGACTGCTGACCCCGCCGCGCATGTCCACAGGGCGGTCATGTGGACAGCTTTCACAACCACCAAGTTGGGACGAATTCGGAGGGTTTTTTTTTTTTTGTTTTTGTTTTTCAGGCCGGGTCCAATATATGGCAGAATAAAACTACAATAACCAATTAATCAGCTCTCATAAATCATGACTACTCAGTGACATCTTGCCCTTGGCGGAGGTCAAATGTGTGCAAATCCTCATGGGCCTCATTTTGACAGTAGATAGCGCAAAGTGAAATCATCCAAAAAGCTTTCACTTGAATCACCAGAGAAGAAAGGGAAACTGACCTGGTCGTCTTTGACGCACTGAATCTCGCACTTGCCACCAATGAGAGGAAAAAGCACATCCTGAACCTCAGCCAGCTGCACGCGCGCGCACACACACACACACACACACACACACACACACACACGTGTGTATGTATCGTTTCCTGTTTCAAGTTCCTTTTTTTCCAACAAGTGAAAATGTTATTTGTGGTGTTTTTTTCAAAGTCTTTGCTATTTACTATCATACTACAGAAGCCGCGGAACTGTACTGTTGCCACACCAGGAAAAGAAAAAAAATAGCACATAAGCTACCTAATGTGCTATTTTTTCTTTCCATTTTACGTTTGACAAAACAAAAGGAAGGAAGCCACTTCTTCCTGTTGAAGTGACTGCCAGAGACTTTTTTTGTGTTTTACAACTCAAAATAATTCTCTGACATTTGTTTTTACCACGATGTTAAAGTGTGAAATTTATTCCATGAAGTTTATCCTGTTAAAACGTGAAACTTGAAATTGAGCCTATCCCAAAAAGTTTAGGCGTTAAAATGTGAAACTATTCACAGCGTGATGCTGAACTTTTTCTCTTTTTTTCTTGACGTGGCAGCAATACGTTTGCTTGTGTGTTCGCGCGATATGGCAAAAGGGCTTTCGTTCTAGTTTCGTTGATTAAATTAAAGCGCCCTCTGCTGGCCCGGAATAGACTCTGCTATTAGCAATACTGTGGAGCAGCGCTGAACCCTCCACCGCCGCCATTTTGTTTGCTCGCAAATTCTCCTCTCCTTTATTTAAATAAACGATCCCCAAGGAGGTTAGTGGCAGAGCCAGGTCCTTATGTAAAACAAAAAAATAAAGTTAAAGCCCCCCCAACGATTAGTGCAGAATCACACGGTGTGTTAAAAGGCAGCGATTAAAAACGGGGCTTGAGGTCGTTTTTTTAAAAATGGATCGCGAGTGCACCACAAAGTCCATTTGTCCAACTCCTCTTCAAACCCCTTTTTTCCCCCTGCCCTGTTCTTGTGTGTTGTATATTCAGTTCAATGTTTGATGTCCAGCAATTTGTATATACACACGAATCAAGTCGAGTTCCGAGTTTTGCAGTCATGTCAGCAGCTGAGGCAACTTTATGCCGCAAAAGAAGCAAGCAAAACAAAATAGAAGTCACATCTTATCAAGTTTAACACGCCAATGATGTCTTTAAGTTGTTACCTTGTAAGTTCGATCACAGGAAGGCCTGATCCCGCCCCCCTCCAGGGCCCTGGGACACACACACACACACACACACACACACTTTGAGAAGACACGTTGGCAAAGTAAGTGTGCGTATGAGTGTGTGTTCACTTGTGCAGGTCGAAGTGTTGTCGAAGTTTGAGGCAAGTCTGGAAGTATCTGAGCGGAGAATTCAGGCCTTCCACACACGCCGCGCATGTGCCGTGTTTCTCCCACTCGTCCCTCCTGGAGCAAGCCCGTACACACACGCGCACACACACACACACACACACACACACACACACACGCAGAGCAGCCTTTGTCAGTTTTTCTGTCGGTTTTTATGGCGTTTGGAGCACGCGGTGGGCCACATCATCTTCATGGAATTGGATCAACATCCCGCTGGATTTCCTGTTAAAGAGCCAGTTGTTTGCGAGTGTTTGGATCGTCGGCAGTTGTTGTTTACATTCCAAAGGTCATCGATGTTTCCCAAGTAAGCGCCGCCACCGGTGTCTCTTGAACAACATCTTGAGCATGTTGTGTCCCAGATGGAGTCGGATGCTTCGGACATTTTTTTCCATCGGCGCGACTGCTCGACATGCCTTTGCGCGAGTCCCTTCTCTGTCACGCCGGTCGACTTTTGCGGTTGCGGTACACCGGACGGATCTGTGAGCTCAAGTCCGTGTACCGTGACGCGCTTTTATCCGGTGCCGGCGCCGCCATTTTCAAAAGTCACTCGGGGCCGCGTGGGTGGTGAAGGCTTCTGATTTCTAACCACCGAGAAGCGCAGCGGGGGAGACGTTCCCAACGAGTCTCCAACCGCTGCGCGTCAAACGATGTGAGAATGGCCCCCGACGTGTCCGGGTGGCGTGTCGGCGATGACCTATTGCTATTGCCCCCCCCCCCCCCCCGGCTCTGACTGGCTCTCACCAGAAATGGAAGCTGGATCGACTTTTCAACAAAGACGGCCAGCGCTCATCCAGCGCCTCCCGCAGCTCCTGCGCAAAGGCCAAGGGTCAACTGCGCTCTTGCGCAATCATCGGCGTCGCGGGCCGCTCACCTGCACGTCGGAGAGGAACATGGGCCAACACCTGCAGCATTCCTGCACCTTCATTGGCCTGAAAACACAAAGCACAACGCCAGCTGAGCGGGAAAACGGCCGCGCGCTACTTTCCGCGACGTTCTTCACAAAACATGCGGCAAATCATCCGTTGCGTCAAAAACGGAGCGGCGCTTGAGCTTTACCACAGGCCGTGGATGATCCAGGTGCCGACGTGCTCGGGAATGTGGCAGAGAGAAGCGTTGTCTAAAGACTGGCCGAGGACGAGAAGGGAGAAAACACAAAGAAACGGACACGGCGGCAAGGTCAGAATCAAAAAGAAGCAAAACTTCTTTTGCGAACATTAACACGGGCTCGCTCTCACTCGCTTTGTTGCTGCCATCCTTCCTTCCTTCCTTCCTTCGTCTCTTCCTGCCTTCCTTCCTTCCTTCCTTCCTTCCTTCCTTCCTTCTTTCCTTCTTTCCTTCCTTCCTTCCTTCCTTCACTTCCTGCTCAATGTCTCGCCTCCCTCCTTGAGTCGGTGAAGCGACAGCAAATCGTCTTCCTTCCTTCCTTCCTTCCTTCCTTCCTTCCTTCCTTCGTCTCTTCCTTCCTTCCTTCCTTCTTTCCTTCTTTCCTTCTTTCCTTCCTTCCTTCCTTCCTTCCTTCCTTCCTTCCTTCCTTCCTTCCTTCACCTCTCAATGTCTCGCCTCCCTCCTTGAGTCGGTGAAGCGACAGCAAATCGTCTTCCTTCCTGCCTTCCATCTTTCCTTCCTTCCTTCACTACCTCCCCAATGTCCTGACTTCCTCCTTGTTCCTTGACTTTGAATGCAACTTTTTTCCCTTCTTGAGGAAAACCAAATCCATCTGTCCTTCCTTCCTTCCTTCCTTTCTGCTGCTTTCCTCCCAACTTGCTTTCGTTCCTCACATCTGCCTTGGTTGATTCTTACACCGCCTCTTGCAACCTTTTTCTCTCCTTAAAACGTTCTCCCTTCATGACCTTCTTTCTCCACACTTTCTTTCATTTTGGTTTCCTTCATTCTTCGATGGTGTGCACGCACCAAACCCGCTCCCTTCCTTCCACCTTCACGACTTCCCTTCCATCTCGACTGCCTTTCAGCACTTCACCAACTTGACATCCTTCCTTCCTTCCTTCTTTCCTTCCTCCCAGACCTCCTCGCCCTCTCGACTTCCTGTTTCCTATCATTGTTGGTGGAGCGACATGTAAATGCCCGCTTCCCTTCGCTCGCGTCTCCCTCACGAGGGGGAACATCAAACTGTGCCGTGAACGAAAAGAGCGCGTGACTTGATGGATGATGCCGACGTTGATGTTGATGTTGAAGGTCACCTGGCAGAAGCCCCCGGGCCACTGCAGCGTGAAGATGACGCACGTCCAGGTGCAAAAGGCCTTGTCGGCGTCCCCTCGGTCGTGTTTGTCGGCGTCCCCTCGGTCGTCGTGGCCGCACGCGGTGGCCGCGGCGCACAGCAGAGCCAGCAGGGGCGGCAACCGGCGCCACATCTTCACTGGCCTCGACTCGGCACGCCAGCAGCGGAGAAATGCGGAGATGCCTTGAGACGGGCAACCGGCGCCACATCTTCACTGGCCTCGACTCAGCGGAGAAATGCGGAGATGCCTTGAGATGCAAGTGGGCCGGATTGGTGCGCCGGGCTTTGCGGACGACACCCCGAACCGTCCTTGCGCGCTGAAATGGCTGCAAATGCGGGTCATCCCTTTCGAAAATATTGCGCTTGTTCAAAACACGACAGCGTCATCGGACGGAACATAAAGAACGAAGCAGATTGCGCGGCGTGATTTCACGCTACAATTGGATACGTCGGCGCTCCTTCCGGAGGGCCGGCCCCGGCCGCCAGGGGGCGCTATAACCGTCATGCGGGCGCAGACGAAGAAGAACAGACTTCTCCCGCCGAGGTCGCTCTTGGCAGATCCGCGGCTCCCTTTCTATTCGGAATTGATCACACATCGTTTCATTTCGGGCAACTCGCGAACATGAATAAGGCGCGCGAGCAAAGTTTCGGCTCGTTCGCGGCGGACGAGCTTGCTACGTCCGGCTGCGCGGCGCGCGCGCCTTTATCAGGGGCGTGGCTGTGGTCGTCATTGCGCAGAAGGCCAAGTGAGGCCACCTTCCGATCTTGCTCGGAGCTTGAAAGATTTCGGGGGCCAAAGGGAGCAGATTCTTTGCATTGACGGATTATTTGGCCTCGGTCGTTGGAGCATTTGAATTTTTACAACGGATTAGCCACCAAAACCAGGCTGCTACTGTCTGCTCATTTTTTTCTTTGGAATGAACTTAGTCAAGGAAAAAAGAAAGGAAGGAAGGAAGGGAGGGAGGGAGGCTCTGAGCGCCACTTTGGGGTTTCCTCTGGGGCAAGACGCAAACGCACAGCCTCCGCCGACAAAAAATCAAGTCGCCATTGCCACCAATTCGGGTGAGCGCGGAAGGCGGAGGGGGCGGAGTCAGCTCTTCCGCTTGCCGGCGTTATTTTGGGGCGCCACGCTCGGTCGCCGCCAATGCGAGCGTGACCATTTTGCGCTCAAAAGCCCAAAGGGGAAAACGCATCCGAACACCGACGGGGGTCGCCGAGTACCTGCGCGCTCTTCTTCCCAAAGGCGGACGGGCGGACGCGGCCGAAGTCCGTTTGCGGCTCCGCTGGCCAGGAAGGTGGCGGCTGCGCTTTCACGCCGTCTCTTTTTGCGCGCGCAAAAAGAGAAGTGAAGCTTTGCTGCGGGGAAGCCGAAAGCTTTGACAGCTTGTTCCTGGTTGTCAGCCGGCCCACTTCGCTCGCGCGTGTCGACGTGAAAAGTCGACACGCCCCTCGTTGAAATGACAACGAAGGCGAAAGGAGTCCCGTTGTCACCTGTGCGGCAACTCCACGCAACAGCGCGCGACATGGAACAATCGGCCGCGTTTTGAGAACGGAGCCGTCCCGTCCTCGCTCCGGAGTGACACCAAAACGCTGGAATGAAAGAATCGGCCTTGATCGAAAGGCGCGCCGGGACGTGGAATTGGCGCGCTCATCCCGGAGATCTCCAATGCGGTCGCCAGCTGGGAAAAAAATCTCTCCAAGCGGAGCGAGAGGAGAGATCTGCGCTTGGTTTGCATGAAGAGGCGTCTGTCCCACTTGCTTCGTCCTGAGAGTCGCCGGAAGTGGAAAGGAATCCCGTTCGAATGAGGCAAAAGGAACGCGCCGATATCGAAATGGCGCGACGGACGGCTGCGCCTCGCTCGCGGGTGTCCCAAATGCCGTCTGCGGCCGAGGAGTCGACGGTCCGCGCCGATAAAAGGCCAAATGCGGCGAGCGGGGAAAGGTGACGTCAGCGGTCCCGCGCCAAAGGCTGCGGCGGGCGTCCGCCGTCGGGGGCGCTCGCAAGCGCTTTGCCGACGCCCCCCGCCCGCCGCCGGCTCCCGGCTCTCCCGGCCGCCGCCGGAGGCTTCGTTGCCTCGAAAGAAGGCTTCCTTCTGCGCGCCAGCGATTGCTCATCGATGGGGAAAGATAGTCATCGCGCGATCGGTCGCCCCCCGAGTATCCGCTCGTCTCGAACGGCGAGCTCGGAGTTCACCACTCCTTGGATTCTTTCTTGCTCAGCACGCTCGCGCTCGGGCGGCAAAAGCGCATGAAAAAGAAAAAGACGAGCCCGCCGTGCTTTTGTCCCAAAAAGGACAACGCTCCGTCGGTTGAAGGACGTGCGCGCAGAGTGCCGGCGGCCGCTAGAGGGCGACAGGCGCGCGTACGCGCACGCGCCGCACCCATTTTCCAGCCACTTTCCACCGGTGGTGCCGGGGGCGGGGATGTCATAAGGACAACCGGCGTGACGCACCCCGCCGCGCTGGCACCGCCCGCGGAACATTCCGGCTAAGCGGCGGAGCGCGACCGGGGCGAGCCCACTTCCGGGCACGACGCGAGAACTCGATTGGTCACACGATGGCTCCACGCTAACGCTAACGGCTCCCGCTGGCGTTTGTCATTTGGATGGATTTCCCCCAAGGCCGGCGACTGGAAGTCGTCTTGCTGGTTTGGGCTTTCAACAAAGGCCGAGGGCGCCACGGGGGAGGGGTTTTCGAGGAAGTGTCAAACTCGGGGCGGGGTTTCAAACGTGGGTTGGGTAGGGCTTTAAACGAGGGTTCGGGTTTCACATGTTTTCCCCAACGTTCTTGTCAGAAGTTGGTGGGACATCAGCCTTTTTTTTTTTGTGCTCCTTCTTTTGGCACGGCATGTTGTTGTTTTCATTGAGTGGGCCGACGCGCGCCGGCAGGAATGTTGGCCACGGCTGAGCGCTCGCCGGCAGGAAGCGACTCGTCGATAACCTTTGACCTGCGCTCGGCCACCCCCCATGACGTCTGGAAGTCTCGCGCGAGTACGTGGTCGCGCGCGCGCGTGGGTCTGCGTGTGGCTGAACGCGGGGGAGGGGCGGCGGCCGCAGGTGCGGACGGGGGCGTTCTGTTATTGTCATCACGGCCTCGGCGGCGGCGCTTTGCCCCCGTGACCGTCACGCCGGCTCTCGGCCCGCGCGCGGTTCCCACCGAGGCCGAGGTCAAAGGTCGGCGGGAGGCAGATGCAAAGAGGAAGCCGGCGGGAATGAGGAGGAAGGAGGGCCAGGAGAAAAACAAAATCACAAGAAGCGGCAGCGCAGGAAGCAAAGTCGACTCGAGGCCCGGCGTGCGCTTGCCGTCGCTCTCCTTTTGACGCGAGCAAAACAACTCCAAAATTCGCGTCGTCAATCATAGTCATCATCATCAAAACGAAACCCAATGTGCCAAATGTTGGATTGCGAGCTTGCGGCTTGCCTCGTCAAACCATTCGGGCCAAACACAAAGCCCGGAGTGATTTCAAAGTCGTTTGTCTTGGATAGAGCGCCGCGCAGAGCAACCGGAAGCCGTCCAGGGAGCACCCGAGTCGCCGTCGGGCCTTCTCCAAAAAGCGCTCATGGGACATTGTCATTTTCCAGGAACGTTCTCGAGGCGAGCGAGTAAAAACGTTGCGCTTCGCGGAACCAAAGTGCCGTCGTCGCGAGAAATCACCAAGGTGATCCGTGTCTGCGGGTGAAGTCGCGTCATGACCGACTCGCGACGTAACTGACGCTCGTCGGCAACAATCGCAAGAATCCCAAGAAGGGGATCTCCGCTTGCCGATGCCCTTATTTGGCATGCGAGCATCCGGGCCGACTTGTGAGAGCGGTGAGCTCCGATGCTAACATGCTAACACTCGAGATGCTAATGTGAGGCCGGCAACGAAGCGGCTCGGGATGAAAAGTGTCACCGCGTGACCATTTCACATTCTCTGGGGAAAAAAAAGGGAAAAAAAGCCTAAAAGAAAAAAAACAAAACAAAACACCAAGGCCAAGACAAAGACCGGAAGCGTGGCAACAAAAGGAGATGAGCGTACACATTTGTCTGTTCGCATATGGAAGTCAAGAATCTCACACACACACACACACACACACACACACACACACACACACACACACACACACACACACACGTTTGACTGTGAGCAGACAAGCTGGGAAAAAGTTTGGGTGTGGGTTAAAGGTTGCAGAGGGTGACGAAGTGATGACAGCTGCTTGAGCATCTCTTTTATGGCTGTGTGTGTGTGTGTGTGTGCGTGTGTGTGTGTGTGTGTGTGTGAGTGTGTGTGTTCTCCTTTCATGTGCACTTCCTCCTCCTCACGTGTGAGATGTCCATCACGTCTTTACCGCGGAGCACAACATTCCCACGCTCAGAAGAAGAAGAAGAAGGCAGAGGAAAAGCAAAGAAAGGTCAAAGCGCCAACGACCGACTTTCGGCACGGCGAACGCCATCTCACCCGCGGCGCCGTTTCCAGAAAACGGCGCGGGCGCAAACCGAGCTGGCGGCAAAGCGCCTCCGCGGCCGCTGACCCAAAACGGCCCCGCCGCCAGCCGCCGGTCGACTCCGTCAACATTCGCAAAGCAGGAAGCCGTTTGTCAAAGGAAAGAGACACTCGCCCGCCACTTGAGCCAAGTTTGCTTTTCTCGTTTATTTAGGAAAATAGATGCGCATCGCATTTGTTAAATAGCAACTATGTACACGTCGCGGTTGGACAAATTAAATAAAACTCGACACGCATTGCGTGGTCTTAAATTAGCACGCACGCACGCACGCACACACGCGCACACACACACAGCGCAGTTTTTGGTATCAAAAGAGGAAGAAGATGACAAGGAGGATGACGAAGGCAAAGTAGCCGCAAAACAGTTTGGAAGGCGCGGGCACGAGCGCGCCGCTTTGTGGCGTTTGCCGCCGACTGTCCAGGTTGGCGAGATTCTCGTCATCCCGATGCGCCGGACGACAACAACGCCGATTGAAAAAAAGTGCAAAAGATGCGCAAACATTCAGTCTTTGGTGTCCTTCCTCTCGCGCTTTTTCTTTGCTTCGCGCCAAAGACAAAAAAAAAAACCAACCCCAAAAAAAAAAAAAAAACCTGATCACAATCATATGAATCATCATAGCAAGAAAATAACGCCGCAACGGATGTCCGCTTTCCGTGTCTGCCGAGCTGCAGCGATGAATAAAAAATTTTGAAAAAGGAAAAATATTCTTCCGTTCTGCGGGATTCCAAATAAAAATCCATTGATGGGCTGGAGGTCAAACCTGCGACAAATTGGGAAATAAAACAAAAACAAAAAACAAAAAGATGGCAGTGACTCACGTGATCCGAGTGTGTACGTGTGCACGTGTGCGTCGGTCCTTCGAAAACAGAAAGTCCCGGGAGCAAAAAAATAGGCCTACTTCTGCAACAATCACATTTGGATGACAATCTTTTGAAACAAACAAACAAAACGTGGCATTTTGTCCCTCCTTCCCAAAAAACGTGACGTTAGTTTTGCATCAAAACACAAAAAGAAAAGGAGGCCCAAAGTGTGACTCGAGCGCTCGCCCTTCGCGGCCTCCGTTTGGCGTTGGTGCGTGTGCGTGTGTTACCTCGGTGGCAAAGACGCAGCACTGCATCTGCTCCGGGATGCCGGAGACGGGCTGGGAGCCCACGACCGCCAGCAAACTCGCCG